AACTGTGGCGTACAATTTAAACAGTTGTGAAATACGCAGAGAAAACTAACTGCAGCCATTTTACATATTTTTATCTGCTACTCTCTTTTTACTAGTTATAACTCCGAGCCCAACAGCTGTAGTTCGAGGATTACAGTAAAGGAATAGTAACGGGCTTCGAGACCGTTACATCACCTCCCGGCCAATGATGAAAAGATTCGTCCTCGAATCGGAAAAAAAACAACTAATCTTCGAACTGCACAGTTAAAATTTTATACAATTGTTTATCTCTTTTTTTTTTTGAAACTGGCGACTACATGAATGGTGATAGTGTGATGTTTTTATCACATAGGAGAAATACAATCATTAGTAAAATTGTGGTACAGCTGCTAGATTGGGATTGTGTATTTCTTCTTTTTGGGATTTTACAATTGTAGTTTAAGATGAACAGATTGTATAATGTACTGCTTGTTACAGAAAAACACTAGGATAATGCAAAGAAAAATGCATTCATGTGACTCATAATATGATAGGATCGCACCATTCCTATGTGTTCAAAATTGATTTCTTACTGTTTATTTTACTTTCTTCACTATTTTATCTTCTCGTAACAACTTCTTAAATACACTCTGACAACGTAACAACTTCGCGATACACTATGACAAATTTGCGTCTTGACTGACATTAATCGAGTTGGAGAGAGAGAAAAGATAAGTATGAACTATGTACTTAACTAAAACTTGACCAAGCGAGAATACCTTTCCACTTTTCTTAAACTATATGAAGAGAGTAAGAAAAAGGAGCTTTCATCTCAATACCAATATATGTGTCACGTGATTGTATAAAGAAATAACAAAAGAATAGATAAATGTAGATAAATATTCGCGTCTTACAAAATATCTACGAAGAAATTTGAAACGGAAAATAGTACGATCTCAAACGTTCGACATGTATCACCTCAATTACGCGATTATCTACTAAGAATATTATTTGATAATCTATGGGCGTAATTTTCTTCGTAATTTAGAATGGACCGATCCAATGCGATTCTATTTTAGGAGCTTTGCATTTGCCTAAAGCGCTGCCGACTGTAGTAGCCATCATCACGAGATCGCCTACTTTAAAATGCACATCTTTGCGATGTTGATTATAGTTTGAACGTTGGTTTTGTTGTGCGATTTCTAGATTATGACGTACGAAGTCGAAAGCAGGCAAAAGATTACTTGTAAATCGATCGCGATAATTTCGAACTTCGCAATTGTTTACATGTCGATCACTCGTTCGGTTATTTAAACCAAATAACACGTCGAGCGGTAATCGAGGCTCGCGACAATTACTTCTATCTTTATCTACGTATCCTGCTATCATCGTTTTTACAGTATTATTAATCCGCTCTGATAGATTAGTTTACGAATGACAGAGAGATGTTCTATTTGAAGAAGATGTAGAGTTTCTTCAGATTTGTTTTATATTTCTTTGCATCTGATAATACATATTGTGATGATCTAAAATTGAGTGATATTATTGACGATAAAAGCTTATATAAAATACATGATATTGTTAAAGTTAAATTCGGGAACGATATATATGAAGGTGAAATACTTGGAACATCAGATATTAAAGAAGAATTAAAACAATATTATCCACAAAATCTTGAAGAAAAAAATAATCGTAACAGAATTATATCAACAGATCAAAGAACAGCAATACAAAGTTCAAAAGAAAATAACGAATATAAATTATTAAATGACGCTATAGGACAACAAGATCAAATATTAACATTCGTACAAGATATATATGGCTGTACAAACGTTAGAAAAGAATTTTATTACATTAAGAAAATCAATGAACGAAGATGCTAAGAAATTATCAACAATTGAAAGAAATAGTATTCAATGTACAGAAAAAATGAATGCGCTGGCCAATATGTTTATGTCAATAAATAATAATAAGAAAAAAACAATAGCAACTCAGGTAAGGAAAAAAAGTTAAAAGCGCTTCATGTAAAAAGATTTTAATATAATGTGTTACTAATGAATTATTTTTGAGGAAAATGACGAACTATCTAAATGTTTAGACTGATTTTATTGATGAACAGGTTATACATTCAACAACGCCACAGAATACGTATCCATATAATTTTAATGATAGTTTCCAAGTATGTGAACTCTTAATAACTTGTTTTCGTATTATATATTGTTTTGTATATTTATAGGATGATGAAAACATATACGATCTAGATAATCATTCTATAGTTACATCATTTTTAAGTAAGATCATAGATAAAGATAACGATGAATCATCTGAGGTAAGTCCACACCTTTCGATTACTGTTTCTAAACCTTCAACTGCTTCTAAATCTAAAATTATTTTTAAATCCAAAAACAACCTGGAACTAACGGTGCCACCATCACCAGTAATGAGTTCAACAACACCAAAGCCATCACCATCAAAAGTGCTCACTAATGTAAGCATTAAATGCTTCTATTCTGAGAATATACATTTTCGTTCGTCTAAGAACAGTACACTATATATTTTACTTTTCTCTTTCAGGTTATTCACATATCAGATCCAAATGATCAATCAATTGTATACAATGTTAATAAACAAAAATATTTATATGCTAAAGAACGTTCTGACAATGATCTTAGTGAAGAAGGTACAATGTATCTAGTACAAGAATTGGTTTTCCACATATTTACACCTGAAGAACAGGAACATTGTTCCGCGGACGGGAAAATACAACGAACAAGATCATTTGATACTGATAAATTTCGTACCATTGATCATCATTTATATACACTTTATGATGTGCGTTATTCCACATACAGACAGAGTAGACGTTTTCCTACCGATTTACGTCGAAAACAAAGATCATTTAAGGGCAATCAAAAAAGAAAAAAATGTTAGGCATTAAATGTATCTCTTATCATTTTGTTTTACATTAAAGTTATTTGAAATTCACATTTTTGTGCTTTATAGCAAGAAACGTTTCTACATAAACTTCGAGACATCATGGCCCGAAGAGAAAACCGGAAAGTCATGATAGTTCGGAAAGTTGTCTGAAAGTCCATCAAAAATTTTCATCAAAACTGACGTTTTCGTATGCAGCAATATTGGCTTTAGGTAATTTTATTTTAATTCGCCAAAATGGCAGCTTATGGCACAAATTGGAGCGGACACTGTTTTTCATGGGCAAAGAATAATTGACTGAGCATACAAAAATATAAAATTTGTTTTTTTCTCGTTTTCTTGATTTCTATGTTCACTTCTAAAAGCGCGAAGAAGGAAGAAAGATCTAGACACCCAAACCACTTTTCTTTAGAAAATAATGGTCAAACTTTCATACCTTGTTTCTTTCCTTTTTGTTCCACAGCATAGTTCAGCAGCATCGTGAGTCTATTCTATCGTTAGTCTATGTAACACCTGAACAAAGCACCACTATGGCAGCGGTAACGAAAAATCATTCTTACTGTTTAAGACCATATTAGCAAGTGATAAGGCCAAAGTGAATATATATATATATTACCTATAATTAATTAGCACAGTTAATGCGTTCTTTGATGTGTTATATATAAGAGTTAATATAAAGTAATCTATTGGAAAGAATGAATAAAATGGATAAGAAAAGATAGATTTTATATATTTTCTCTCTTATACAAACATCACAGAGGAGCGCTTTACATTATTCTACGAATGATCCGATTGATTCGTTCATAGTTTTGACGGCTTCCCTTAGAAAGATCGAAGATATTGTGAGTACTTCAGCAGATAAAGGAGGAAAGTGTGTGATCCTAGACAAGGAAATTTATGTCAACAAGATCGAAGAAAAACTAAAGGACGCACGAATGTATGATCAAGTGAAGAATCCTTTGTCCAAAATAAAGAAAACTTGGCTCAATCCACTGGCAAACTCAAAGGACAGCCGAAACTGCATGAAACAGACGAACCGATGAGATTGATTACGTGCACTCGAGACACGATAATGGCACCGATATCGAAATTTGCTTTCTCAATGGTGAAAGATCTACGCAAAACAGTAAAGAACGTTGTGATGAACACAAACGAATTTATTAAAGACATGAAAGAAGTTACCATGGATCCGGCGGAGAGATTAGCTAGCCTAGACGTCGAAGGGTTATTTCCAAATGTTTCAGTCACCAGAGCCGTTGACCTTTTGATAGCAAGATTCGATCAGACAAGTGCGTTACAGAACTCTTCAGCGGGTAACAACGATTTAAAAAGAATGACTAAGATGGACCTGAACAAGATGCTCCTATTGGCACTCAATAATTGCTATGTTGAATTTAACGGAAAAGTGTATAAAGAAAAACATGGATTATCCATCGGCAACCCGCTCTCAGCGGACATCTATCTCGATGATTATGTCTTCAAAAATTTGAGTGAAGTGAACGTTAATGGGAGTTTGCATCGATACGTTGACGATCTGCTTATAAGAACTAAGATGAAACCATCGAATGGATCGATTCCTTGACTCGTCGTCTTTCCCATTTTGCATCTTTATCCAAAACTTTTGCGCCGTTTGGTTCAAACAGACACTGGCCACTGTACTGGTGATGATGTTTTACAATTTCTGAGTTTGACTGCGGGTCATTTTTCTGGATTAGGCTCTGATGTTGCTTCATACGTTGGACCAGTCTCAGTTTTGTCTCATCAACGTAGGCACTTCGACACTGACAATCTATCTCGTAAATCACTGCTTTTGACTGGTTTCTAATGCACGAGTTATACTGGGATTGTAGTTTATTCGGATACGCGAAAAACACTCTAATTTTCAGCTCTTCTAACCGACGTTTCACCACCTCGATTCCTGGAACATATAGTAAGGCCACAGAGTATTTAAATTCATCGGACTTTGATATTCTTTTACAGCTTTTAGTTCTAATTTAGTTCTAATAAACAGCAATTTTTTTTCAATATATTGGGCATAACTTTTTGCCACATTGTATGACATTTAAAATGTGTCGTCTGACACGGCACAATCTAAACGCGACATATTTTAGGGCATATTTTTTAACATTGTGCAACGAAACATTAGACAACGAACATAAGGCAACGAACATTAGACAACGAAAAGTCTTTTAAATTGCTCACTTAGAATGTTCTCAAAGTCCTATCACGATCTCTGACTACTTGCTAAATATCAACGACCTTATGGTAAAGGAGTTCTGCTAATATTAATTTATTTAGAAACTAGATGTTTCAGTCCTGGATTTCCATGAATGTTGCTTGCATCTTTTTAGCCCACAAATAGCGCAGCCGATGACTTAGATGAGAATTGGTTTCGTCACGATGATCGTTCCTATTGTTTGAAAGATGGTTCTTCGAGGACAGGTAAAAACTGTTCAATACATTTTAAAAAGTAACATTTAGAGAAGCCGTCAAAATTCGCATCGGTGAATTTATTCATCGCTGAATATTTTTAATTTCGATTGAAATTTTGATTGATTAATTTGATTGAAAACAAAATTACTTAACAAAAATAGAAGAAGAATACAGTTTTCGACGACTTTTATCAATGAGGTGATCATTTCATGTCGAGAAAAAAAATGAAAGTGATAATTCTATTTTTGTCGACAGTCGCACTCTCAACAGCGTTACCGTTAGAAGTGGCAAGTTAGCACCCTATCTTGTATTCTATTTTCATATGTAAAATATTATAGCGAACTGATCTTCAAATTCAATTATTACTTGAACAACTCCAAATCCACATATCTCTATCTTTTGATTTTACTATTTTTGTTAAGTAATTTTGTTTTCAATCAAATTAATCAATCAAAATTCCAATCAAAATTGAAAGTATTCAGCGATGAATAAATTCACCGATGCGAATTTTGATGACTTCTCTAAATGCTACTTTTTAAAATGTATTGAACAAATGGATAAATGGTTTTTGCTCAGTAGGTAAGTCCGCCCAGACTCTTCCTCTTCCGAATAACGTCTAAAGTTCTGTTCTTAGAAGGTATGGTATAGCGAAAAGATAGATTCTAAATCAGATGTTTTTTTTTTCATACAGGTAAGCGACAACATTCTGTTTCTTTCGATCGATTTCGTTTCCCAACTGTAAATAAATAATAAAGAAATGGATTCGAGAAAAGCGAAACACAAGTCGTATTCGTAGTTGGATAGAGGGCATCAAGCTGAGTAAGAAAAGGGTAGTTTTAGGTTTAGTGATTTTACTCAAAATCACTACAGTTTCAAAAAGTTCAAATTTTGCTGTTCAGGAGCCTTCAGCAAGCGGTTTGCTGGAAAAAACAGTTTTTCAGAAGCTCTAAAGTATAACAGAAACCCTTTGCAATGAGGCATGATTGTAGCCCACAATTTCTGATTGAAATAAGTCGTTTTCCAGCTCTACACGATCTTTCTTTGCAAAGTTATGGAGTTCACAAGCCCTAAGTTCATTTCTGTTGCTTTGAGCTAACAATGAACATTAGACTTTTCTTGTAAATTCTATAACTTTGCAAAGAAAGGTCGTGTGGAGCTGGGAGATGTCTCGTTTTAATCATAAATTTGTGGGCTACACTCACGTCTCATTAAGAAAGGTTTCTGTTATATTTTAGAGCTTCTGAAAAATTGTTTTTTCCAGCAAATCACTTGCTGAAGGCCCCTGAACGGCTACCACTATGATATTCGGATTCAGCATAGTTGATAACCTATAAACCACTAGGTTTGGCTGAAAAAGTGATGTGAGAGTTCGGATGGTCCCCTCGTTAGTAAGGTTTCTAATGGCTATCCTTGTCCTAGTAATTTCTTGTTCTCTGCCGGTGTTATAATCCAGGCATGTTTTCGACAGTCAAAGCATCTGAACAATTACTGTCCCATTATCTAGCACTTAAAAAGTCCAGGTAATTCACAATACTGGAACCGAATCGTTCTTTCATCATACGGTTTACACTATTAAGTATGGTTATTCCAAAATCTGGAAATGTGCCGTTCTGATTACTAACACTCTATTCAATGTTCACTGCGTTGGATAAATGGATTTTGGATAAATATTTGGCGAAATACTTTGAATCGATTGTTACAAACACTGAGTAATCTAGAAGATAAGGGATTCTCCGTGTGCAATGGAACTTTACGCGTACCATGGACCACGACTCCTCCCTGGTGCGACCAGATTTTTTGTTTGACAGTCTGTTCTTGCGAAAAGGGCAGTGCTCCAAATGTTCGTGTGCCAAACAGAGCGTGAATTGTATACCGAACCTGCGATTCACAAATTTGTAGCAGACGTTGTGGGTATGCTTCTATTGCTTTTAACAGCATATGCTCGAATTGAAACTACAAACTGCTAAATTTCTCGTGATATGAGTGCAGTATTCTAGGAACTCTATTTTTTCTCACAGTATTCACCTTCGTTTGCTCTTACCACTTATTTACTTTAGTGGCTGCTAGCAGCATCCTTCAAATCAATGGACTCTTTAGATCATATAAAAAACACTAAACCCTAATGCGGAACAAAGACTTCCTTCTCTTGCAAAAGAAAAGTATTTGCAAAGATTTCAGTTTTTGTGCCTAACATAGTTCATATTATTCATATTATAACAGGTTTGGACTCAACTGAGATACAATCCATATTTTAATCAAGTATCTCAGTTGTGAAACCATTATTCCTGCGAAAATATTCGTTTCGCAACTCCGATACAATTTTGGCAAGTGCACTGAAACGTGCAGTTGTGCAAGAGTGCAGTGTACAAAGGTCCATTATTCCATAGTGAATGAAATGAAATTAGGTATATGATGTATCTATACTGACTATCTAAGGAATTATCCCCACATTAGATGGTCAAATATTATCATGTATTAAATTATTATCAAGTAATCGCATGTATGCAAAAAACGTAACAACAAAGTCAGTTCTTATTGATTGCTCTCCACGTCATCCGCGTCTT